AAAGCATCTTACCGTAATTGCCAAACAGTGGAAAGAAGCGATCTTCCATTATTTTGAGGCACAAAATACATGAAATCTGTGCAGGGTAAACCTTAATTAGGTACAATTCCCGAAGCACTATACTCAGACCAAGAAAAACAAACAAAAACAAAAAATCTCAGCCCATGAACGTGCAAGATGATAGGCACAGAGATTTCATTCCATTACTTGGTTTCCCCGATTGTCCCTTTCTTCCTTCAAATGTTATGTAATCCTTGCCTCCCCCCCAAATATTGCCTTTCCCTGCCCCAACTGTGAACCTGGCCTTCAAAGCTATTATTGAAATGGAGCAGAATGTTAACTGATATCCTTACAATCACAACATGTGGAAACAATCGTTTTATTTTGTTTTTCTTTTCTTTTATGCAGGAAAGCAACAAGTGTCCAGCTATCAACCTCCATCTGCCCCTTACTATTATTCTAGTGGTAAGTTTCTTTTTTAGAGTTCATAAATATTTATTTATTTATTTATTTATTTGATTTGCCAATTGTTTACAAGATAATAAGTATAAATGTGTACATAGTTGTGAATACATGAAATGGGTACATATAAGAAAAATAAAAGAATAAGAGAAACAATAGGACAGGGACGGTAGGCACGTTGGTGCGCTTATGCACGCCCCCTGCGCTTATGCACGCCCCCTATGTATGTATGGTATGTGTATCTAACATACACACACCATACATACATACATACACACATACAAAGAGTGATTGATATCAATAAGAAGAAGGGGGAAAAAGTAAGGAAAAAATAAATCTTTCTGAGGTCCTGGAGAGTGAATCCATGAAGTCAATGCAACAAAAGGGTTTCAGGTCTTCCTGTTTGAGACAGAACCGCAAATTGTTGGATGTGGACTGGAACATCTCATGCCGTACTTTAAAATGGGAGACACTTCAAGGAATGGATCATGTCTCATGCAACTGTTGTTGCCTATGAAAGACAAAGGCCTTATTTTTTTCTCAGCTCCCTCAATCATCAACTAGAGATGATTATGTAACAATTTCCAATGTTGGATTGAGACTAAGACCCATGTAACAATAATGTTACCCTTAATGTTCTTTTTACTGTAAGGGCAGTACAGAAATATACTAAATAGAAACTCTGTATCTTTCTATACTTTTTATTCTTATATTCTTCTATTTCATTTAAAATGGTGCACAAAGAGATCACAGAAATAAAATGACCCACTGATGGAAGCATGATTTTGGTGTAATTTCTTCTTTGCAGTTGATGGAGACCCACACTTTATCATAGCTGTACCCCAGAAACAAGATGCCCTTTGTTTCAATATTAATGAAGAGCCAGGGGTAGTGTTAAATTTGATAAGAGATCCAGTTACAGGTGAGCTTTTCTTTCTTAAACTGTGATTTTAAGTAAGAAAGGTATTGCACTGCTAGATCAGTTCATTGTCATCTAATTCCATTTGATTTCTTTGAAGTCTGTTTCCTTTGGTTAAAGAATAACATGTAAATTCTTACATGTATAACTCTGTTAGCTTTCCATAAAGCTTTAAAGACCTGTCAATATTCCCATGCCTGGGGCGCTATATGCACCAAGGCCCCTGCCTCCTGGCTATATTGTTAACAAGCCAGATATCTTGCTTTTTCATGCACTTTGAATTAGACGTTTTAATGTAGTTTATTGTTTTAACAGTTTTTACAGTTTTTATTATTTTAAAAGCTTTAAGATTTTAATTGCAATGTATGTTTTTGAATTGTGAGCTGCCCAGAGTCATTGACTGAGCTGGGTGGCTACAGAAATCAAATAAATAAATTTTAATTAGAATCAATCCCAGTTTAACAAAAAAAAAATATTATGGAAAATGTTCTGCCTCCTGGAAACCAGGAAAAGACATATTTTTAAAAAATGTTACTTATACGTATGCCATCCCTTTAATATCACTGCTGGACTTTAGGCATGACCATCAATGGACAGCTTATTGGAGATAAAAAGAGCATCAACGATGTAAGACCACAGAATACATATTTTGGAAAACTTGGGATTATAACTATGAATCGGAATGTAAGGCTTGAAATAACAACTCAAAATATCATCCTTCAAAATGGTATAAAAAGGAGAGTATTCAGCTGGCTTGATGAAATTGCCTTACAACAACCCGGGTGAGCTTTTCATAACCCTAATATATAAACGTGTTATTCTTAAATCAGGCATGGGTGATTTACAGTTTTGTAATTTTGCACATCTCTTGGTCTATTCCAAAAGCCTAAGACAAGGTACCAGATCACGTTTCTGACAGGTTATCCTTATTTCTTTGCAGAATGCAATGAGAGAAAAAAGAATGTCAGAAAGAATAGCTTTTTCCCACCCACTTTCTCTGCTGTTAAGCTCTTCTTGCTTCAACTCTATTAACAATGCATTCCCCCAACAGACCAACCCTGAAAGAAGGTGACCTTCACAAGGAAACAAGTTTGCCCAGTCCCAATATAAACAAAGTGGGATAGATTTAAATCAGCTACAGAGAAAGGCAACACGCTATAACTTCTTTTGCAAATATGAGGCTTGGTTGATAAAAATTAATGTTTTTATAAGGTTTTTAATTTTTTTATAAAAATTAACTGCAACCTTCATAAATATGAGTAAGTTGCCAAATGTCTGAATTTTGATCACATGACCATAGGGATTCTGCAACAGTTATATGTCGTAAGTTGCTTTTTCAGTAACTTCATTTCCTAAAGATTAGTTGTAATTTAAGGACTTCCTGCACAGATACCACATATTTTCATTTATCTATGAAAATGTACCTTCTAAAAGTGCTTCACATAGATCTATGTCCCAATATATATTTAAAGGCTGGAGGATTTTCTAGGACTGGTTTCAGCTGGTTTCAGTGGATAAACCTAATCTACAAATGGGGAAGTTGGCATTGTACGATTTTTATGGACTATTTTAAAAACTGAATTTTTTATTACAGTTATTAACCAGCACATTTATACTTTTTCCTATCTTCTCTTCTGTATGGGTAGTAATTATCTTAAATTCAAGTTGCTCTTTATTTCTGATAAAATGCTATATAATTCATTTAATATGAATATTTCAGAAAAAAATAGGGAAACCCTTGATACTTCCTGCACTTCTCTTAATTGCTTTGGTATATGTGAGCAAAACGTCTTTTTTCCCCCCTCTCTCTCCTTCAAATAGCATTGGAAATACAGGAAATAATAAAACATATCTACTATGTATAATGCCCAGAGTCACTATGTGAGATGGGTGGATATTCAAATGTGTTTAAATGAATAAATAAAACCATATATGGATATCCAGATCCAGACAATTGTATGGAAGCAAACTTCTGGATCTGGACTGACTTGCTATCTATAGCAATTGTCCATGAAGGCCAATGTTTACAAGTCAAAGAAGTTAGAAGGATAGGCTAAAATAGTCATATGTTCAGTCTAGCACAGACCTGGGCACTTTGTAGTTCCTTGGACACTTCTGGCCCTTTGGCTGTCCATGTCTGGCCTGTGTGGATTGCTTGTATTTTGAAGGCAACTGATTTTTTTTTTTTCAGTTTACATATCTGCATGCATGCATGCACCTTCACAACTCTATGGGTGTGACTGTCCACAAAAGACCCAGCTTTTCATGTGGCCCATTGGGAAAACTAATTGCCCACCTCTGGTTTAGTGTATTAAGTACATAGAGATCCTGTCTGAAACTGAGCCTAATCCCTAGAGCTAGTAATCAGCATAATGTAATCAGAGTGATTGTTTCAGGTGAGTGGTTTATTTGCATTGCTCTACTTCAGCCTGCTTCATTGGTGAATGAATGGATAGCTTCACCATTTAATAAGGTTGAGGGCCAGATTTGATAGGCTGTGGTAGAATTTAATGCTAGGCTTCATTTAAACAATAGCTATGTGCTTACAGATGCCTTCTCCAGAAATGATTCTCCCTTTGCAACCAATTTCCCTAAATTGAATCTCTGCATTATGCAAACTAATAATCATGTTTTCCTGCTTGGTTTCTTTTTTCCCACTTAGTTTGACACTAATAATCAAACGAAAACGGAGCGTAGAGGTTTCAATGGATAATGGAGCAACATTTGTTGTTGTTCTACACCAAGTGTGGAAGAAACATCCATTACACCGAAGTTTCCTGGGATTTTACATGGCGGATAGTCACAGATTATCTGAACAAACCCATGGTTTACTAGGTAACAAAAAGATATTATTCTAAAGATTTTTGGGGTTTTTTATTTTGTTTTGTTTTTTCCCACTGCTTTTGTTTCATAAGGCATATAGCCTTCTGACATGGCATGAGGTTAAACTCCTGACTGACTTGGCATGAGATTAAACTGATTTGGCATTGACTTGGCATGAGATTAAAAAGGCAGCAATATTTGCTTTTCACTTTCTTTGGTTTCCAGTTATACAATATTTATTTCTGGATTGTAGCACTTGCCAAAATCGATTGTGTATAAAAGTTGTTGGGTTTGGGTAGTTATTTTTATTATTATGAGTAATGTCCAATTTCGTTTTACATCTTTCATTCAATCCCTATATCCAGATTAGAGCACACCACCTGACATAGATAGCAATAAATACATCCTGTTGTTTATTTATTAAAGATCAGCAAATATCAAAAAGAATAAACTGACAGAGAGAGGGAGAGATGAATTTTAGGTAAAGATAGAAAAGTGTCACCTTATACAGGAGATGGGCAGCACAAAAATTTAATGAATAAAATAATCAGAAAGATAATGTATTAACAAAATACTATTTCTAAATAAAAAAATTAAGAACTTCCCAAATTAACTGGAAACAGTTTTCTAGGCAATTGGCATAGACAGTTTCAAAGTTAATGTTTTGGTTATCCCAGGTTTACTCCTTTGCTGTACAGAATAGAGATGAAAGATGGAATCACCAATTTATTCCTTCTCTTTTCTGGACCTTGAAAGAAAAAAACTTGATGTACGGGAATAATGTAGCAAATTCCTTTGCTTTTCTCCCTGATTAGGTTTCTTCTTTAATATAGATGCAAAGAAACCCAACAACCTATGAAGCCATGAAGACCCATCAAGAGCCATTGTACAGGAGCT